AAAAAAAAAAAAAAAAAAAAAAAAAAAAAAAAAAAAAAAAAAAAAAAAAAATCATCCCAAAGAAAAAAACAAATGTCGCGAAAAACTGCGAGGATGACAACGACGGTGCAGGTAGGTATAGGTGTATTTTGTAAGTGAACTTACTTGGGAGCTCGGTATAAAAACCCTTGGAACCGGAGCTGCAGCAGCTGCCCGGGACCCTCAGCACCACCGCGTCGTCGTCCCTCCGATGGTACTACTACCCACTACTTATACTACTACCGTACTACAATGCCACTCTCTCTCGCTCCTCCGTCTGTTCCTCAAAAAAACGCGCTGCACGGATGCGCACGCACGCGCGGCTTAGTCGATCTCTGCAGGCCTCTCCTTCTCTCTCTCTCTCTCTTCCTCTTTCGCTGTCGTCCGGGTCGTCCCTCCCCGCTATATTACACTTAATACGTGAATCGGATATATATATTTTATTATTGTTTTATACATTTATAAGGGAGTTGCAGGGTATACATGTATGTGTTTATGTGTATGTGTTTCAACGAGGGGAGGGACAGCAGCTGGTATAAGCTTTTATTATGTGCCTGGACGAATGGGGGGATCGGGAAAAAAGGACGGGAGGGAAAGGGAAAGAGCGAAAAAGAGGAAGAAAGAGAGAGAGAGAGCGAAAAATCGACCAGACTGACAAGTCCGGCTTTTACTTTTATANCACGCCATTACGATAAAATACATTGGTCCGAACAACAAACAAAAAAAGAACACTATACTGTATGTATGTAGTATACGTTGATAGTTTGAAGGAAACAACAGCGTATACGGTGTATTTTCAAATATGCAAACTTTCGTTTGGCTGCATCGATATTTAAGTATTATTATTTTACATAGGTACCTCGATATAATATTATAATGTTTCGTTACCGGCTACATATGGGTAACTATATTATGTACGAGCTCTTCTGCAACCTTCTCTTTAACAATAAGGCTTCCTTTGTCTCCCTCTATATCTTTTTTTTTCCCCACTTTCTCCCTTTACCTCTTATTTTCTTCCTCACTTTACTACATACATTAGAGTAAAAAAAAAAAAAAAAAACATATATTTATAATATATGCGAGTCTGTTCAAATGACACGCCTATGCTGTACGTATTTTGTAAAGCGCTAGTTAAACGTGTAAGTACCGTATTCATACGTAATTTTTTAGGTATACAGATTTGGCTCTTTTTTACTGATGCATCTGTAACTGCAGCCACATACAGGTGCACCGCTCCCCTTGAGCACACACCGGCGCACGGACGCGTTCGTGATCTCTGAAAATTTCGACTGCTTCTGGGTGGATTATTAAACTGTCGCAAAATTCATTTTCAATATAACATCAAAATTACCAAGTTGAAAATAAGACCAAAAAAAAAAAAAAAAAAAAAAAAAAAAAAAAAAAAAAAAAAAAAAACCCGACTTTTACGCATCGCCGAGTTAAAACAATAATAATAATAAAATCAACAATAGCAATGAAGATACGCAGAGCCGCACCTTTTTTTCATTTAAATATATATACCCAGTTTATCTCGCTCTCTTGGTCATTCGCGTCCCTTATCCTCTCCCTTGTATAAATACCCATGTACTAATTCTGCAACATCCCATATCACTTAATTTCTATATATATATATATTTTGCCCGTATATAGAGACACAACATGCGCTCCTAAAGCCCGCAGCGAGAGAGCACGCAACTGTATATAGGTGCTCCTGTCCCCCTGCCAATAATAAAAACTAAATCGTAAAAGCGGGTAAAATACTTGGAACGAACGAAACGCAAATTTAACGATATGACACGTACAATTTACGAGCGAGGAAAGCCGATCGAAAGTCGGGGGAAAAAGAGATGACGCGAAAGAAGAAGAAGAAGAACATGTGTATATATATGTATAGTAAAGAGTATAGGGTCGATCATCATCAGCTGGCCGGTACCAATGGAATGTCTGTATGGCGCACCCTTTCGAGCTCGTGTGAGAAAAAGAGGGTAAGTATACGGTTCACCCTATAGAAGGTAACAGGAGAGGGGTCGACGAACGAAAAATTAGAGAGAGAGGGGGGGGGACATTCCCCCATTTTATTTTCGTTTAGGGTTGCGGTATTGTATACGGTGCGATTCGCTCTCGAAAACCGTGCAAAAGCTGTTTTCTTTCCTTGCTCTTATTTGAAGCAGTACGATCGACGCGAGCTATGTCATACGCAGTCTCGAAAGGAAACAAAAAAAAATAATAA